GTCCCCCTCCCCGCGGTCCCTGTCCCTCAGTCCTGGTGTGGCACCTCCACGGGGGATCTGGGGGGTCTCTCATCCACGGAGGTGGGAGGGGACATGGGGACAGGCCTGGTCTGGAACCTCCCCGGGGGGCCTGAGGGGTCCCTGACACACGGAGAGGGGACATGGGGATATGGGGACAGTCCTGGTCTGGAACCTCCCCGGAGGATTTGGGGGGTCCCTGATCCCCGGGGAGGGAAGGGGACATGGGGATATGGGGACAGACCTGGTCTGGCCCCTCCCTCGGGGTCCCTGCCATCCCCAGGGTCTCCGACCTTCAGTACAGAGACATGGGGACAATCCTGGTCTGGAACCTTCCCGGGGGATTTGGGGGGTCCCTAATCCCCGGGGAGGGGAGGGGACATGGGGATATGGGGACAGACCTGGTCTGGCCCCTCCCTCGGAGTTCCTGCCATCCCCAGGGTCTCCGACCTTCAGTACAGGGACATGGGGACAATCCTGGTCTGGCTCCTGCCCGGGGGATCTGGGTGGTCCCTGATCCACTGAGAGGGGAGGGGACATGGGGACAGTCCTGGTCTGGGATCTGCGGGGTCCCTGTCCCATGGGGAGGGGACATGGGGACAGCCCTGTCCCTCTCACTAGAGTCCCTGCCCTCCCCTGGGGCTGTGTCCTCCCGTTCAGGGACATGGGGACAGCCCGCTCGTGGTCCCTCCTCTGCGTCCCTGACCTCCAGTGGAGGGACATGGGGACAGCCCCGACCTGCCCCTCTCCCGGGGTCCCTGCTCTTTCTGGGATCCCTGTCCCACAGATCAGTGCAGGGACATGGGGACATACCTGTCCTGCCCCTCTCCCAGGATCCCTGCTCTTCCTGGTGTCCCTGTCCCACAGATCAATGGGGACATGGGGACATCCCTGTCTTGCCCCCTCCCTGGTGTCCTTGTCCCGCAGATCAGTGGGGACATGGGGACATCCCTGTCCTGCCCCCTCCCTGCTGTCCCTGCCCCACACACAGTGGGGCCACAGCCCTTCCCTCCTCCCCGGGTGTCCCTGACTATCCCCGTGGTGTTCCCAGCAGGATCCATCCCCATCCCTCTTTAATCCCGCCGGGATCCTGCAGGGACTGGGGGAGGGAATCCCATCCCTGTGGAGCTCGGGGGGGGGGGTCCCAACCACCCTGGGGCCACCCTGGGTGCTGAGGACCCTAATCCTGCCCCTGTCCCTGCGTGTCCCAAGGGAAGGTCCCGGCCGGCAACATCCTGGCCAGCGCTCCCTCCGATAAAAACCTGGAAGCTTGGAGGGTGAGTGGGGCCTTTTCCCCCTTTTCCCACCCCTTTGGCTCATCCTTCCCAGATCGGGGTGAGATCCAGGCACAGGACCCCGAGCTGTGTCCCTACATCCGTGTCCGGGGGTGCTGGGTTTGGGGGGTCTGGTTTTTGGGGGTGCTGTGTTTTAGGGTGTTGATTTTGAGGGTGCTGATTTCGGGATTT